GTCGTGGAGGGTTTAACGACACATTTATATTTACACAATCGAACCCAAAAAAACTCTATGGTTAATATTGGTCGTGTTTTCATTGCAACGCACGTGTACATGTTTGTATTTTTATACATGTGTTTTGACAACCAGTATTTATTCATATAATTCGTTTCTTGGGGTTATGTCGTGGAGGTACAATGTTATTTCCTTTAACTGTAAACCTCCACCACTCGACAGAGTGAATACAGTCTCACTGGAGATTACATCCAGCATCATTCGGCGTTAACAAAAGCTGAGCTCTCGAAAATGTGTACTTGGTTTGCTGGAAAAGCAAATCAATTGGTATATTTCCCCACGTGGCAACTTGATTGGATTGGCTCTATCAGGTGGTGGAGGAATATAGTTTAAAACAAATTGATATACTTACAAAATCCAACCCACAATAAACTGATTATGTATCTTATTCGTATTTGTGTCTCACAATTGTGTGTTACTGCTGCATGCATTTTAGACACAGCACGTTACGGTCGTCACTCAAACGCTTTTTCTGATATATGTGAACAATTCAAAGATAGGAGGAATCACATGGCAAATGCATCCTATTACCATTGGGTTGTCCGTCGGTATTGACGAGCCCCTTTTCCCAGCATGCACTTTGGGATATTATGCTGTAATGTTATTATCCACACTTTCACTGTGGATCAGAGTCCATTGAAACATTCAATCTATTATTCACAATTTCTTGCACAAAAACGTGGAGTAAATTCACCGATATAATTGTGTGTGATACTATCCATGTTCTTGGTTCTTTCGGTTGCTTGCGTTGTGGCCGAAACGTCGTGATAATTATTTTATTATGTTTTATTTTTATTATTCTATTACTTCCCTTCTACGTGACTTTACCGAACGAACCAAGAAGATGAATCCCTGCAGTCACGAAAGCTTTAAATCGAAAAAAAAACTATCCATGTTGTACGTCCCCCAACTAACTGTGGACAAGAGGGATTCAGCTGTATTGTAATATAAGATTATTTAAAGTGACTTAGATTGTTTTACACATGGTTATTTCCTTTTTTGTTGCTTACATTAATGCTAACCTAAATATATTTCAATTAAGCCCCCTCTCCCAAGAAAATGCTGATGAATTGTCACGATTCAGGGTCGAAACATTTATTTTTATATATTGTGGTGAATTGAGTGACCTCTAGAAAATGCAGGGGTCATTTGAACTAATTGCGTACAACATTTTTACGATTTAAAAAACATCGATTCTTACACACACAATTTGATGCAATTACCATGAGTAAAATAATCGGTATTAATAAATTAAATAGACATTTAAGATAACAAATACAGTCTGTTCTCCTCTAATGCGAATTGCATGTAAAGCAATAAATATATTAGGGAACACATTTTTTTGTACGTGGATGTGAATTGATATAACGCGATTGAGTGAACAGCTAAGAATAAACGGTTGTACGGCTGCCTCGGCCGTACAACCACGGGATGCTGCTGGATGCTTCTAGATTCTACCCACGTGCCTCAGTCTTTGTTTAGCATGCATATGCATCTCACGTGTTGTCGCGAACTGAGCTTTAACATATATAATATATTATAACGTGGTGTTCTTCAGGAACGCAACTACCTCATTATAGGAGATCAGACTGTAACAGCATGTGTTCCTCTTTTAATTTCCTGCAACTGCTGTACGTCACGGTGGTAAGACCTTGCTATGAGCCTTGCCGATGCTGTTCTTTCTTGACCCTAGCAGAATTCACCATCGCCCCATTAGTGGGAGGAACTGAATAGGAAGCTAAATACGTGTTTAATGTGTTCAAATTTACATTGAGTGGCTTGAGTTTCCACGTCTCAGAGCTCAGTTGTAAATCCACATGACCATTAAATCTTGACTTAAAGCTTTTGTGACTGCAGGAATTCATGTGAATTGTCCCTTGCGATAGCTCTAATTGAACGTAGATAGGTTAAAACAAAATTACCTATTAACATGACTTTCCCGAAAGACCCAAAAGAACAAGCACATGACCATTATTCTTTGGTTCTTTCGGTAAAGTCACGTAGGTATAAAATAAAATATATCACGACGTTTCTGGCGCAACACAAGCATCCGTCATCAGGTGAGAAAGCATGATCTGCTGCTGAGGCAAACTGTTTTAAAAGGTTTGAAATGGGTGTAGCCCAAGGATCATAAAGAAGTGGGCTGGGCTAGTGATGTTAATGTGAGAAATTAGCATGTAACTGTAAGATCGAAGAGCGGCCTCCTCGACGAAGGCACAGAAGTGGCTAAGTTAATGTGAGAGATTAGCATGCTAATGTTTTAAAACAGTCTGCCTCAGCAGCACACCATGCTTTCTCACCTGATGACGGACGCTTGTGTCGCGCCCGAAACGTCGTGACTTATTTTATTTTATACCTACGTGATTTTACCGAAAGAATCAAAGAGTATGGATTCCTGCAGTCACGAAAGCTTCAAATCAACATGACCATTGGTTGATGCGTAACACAGAGCATGCCATTAAATTGAGTTCAATATCCGATGTGCCTTAACTTGTGGCCTGATATACCAACCACAAATGCAATGGCCAAGAAAGGACTTAGATGCAAGAAATGCATTACATTCCTCCTCATTCAACAGCCTACATAAGCATGTTTGTTAGACGTGGTTATAGTACGCAATTGCGTATAAAAACTGTCTATTGTTCAATCTGTATGCTATGTTCCTCCAATGTTATAAAATGTAAAAAAGTAACCCATGTAATAATTGTGCTCACCTATTACCAGAAATGTTTCTTTGTTTCAGTTTAAACATCGTCAATTTAATATCATATTATTCAGGTCGGGTCTATCGTGTCATTAGCGTGGGGAGCAGTGAGTTCCTTGCCCCCCCTGGTGGCCAAAGCTACGAGTCGGTGCTCCCTTGACAACCACCATGAAATATGTTTTTAAACAACAGTTTAAAACAACAACAACTTGTATAATGATGCGATAAAGGAAGAGGAGCGTCGACATAGAGCCTAGCTGCGACTGTGCGAGACAAATCAAATATTGGGGCCCCACCTGACCAATTGCCGCACCCCCTGAGCTGATAACGTGGTCACTGCGCCACTGGGTAAAGGGTACGTGGCTCAAACAGAGCTGAGCTCTCCAATTATTATCAGTTCGTTTGCTCAACAAAGCAGATCACATGGAAAATAGTTGGCAACAACGGTCTCACCTCTGTTCCCAAATGTGCCGCTGGACGAGAGGTGATGGGTGGAGCAGAGCTTGGTGATGTCATCGACTTCATCTGCCGCGTCTTGCTTTGTCCAGGGGAGTCCTCACCTTCGGAGAGCAGAATGGTCAAATTACAATGTTATTTTTTTATTCTTGGATCTTTCGGTAAAGTCACGTAGAAGGAAAATAATAAAATTAGGAAAATAAAACATAATAAAATTCTCACGACGTTTCGGCCACAACGCAAGCAGCCGTCCCCAGGTGAAGATTTATTGACTGAACTGTCCCCTGCGATCGAATTGAAAGCCTATCTCCAGTAGTCAGGCCAAAGTAAGATCTTCATGGTTTGTATTAGAATGTCAAAGCAGTCTTCTCAGAACTGTGTAGGCACCTGCTCTTGTTGCAGTTGGTGGATCTTATTCCGTACCTTCGCCATTTTCACCTCATTCAACGCAGGTTCACACACAGCCTCAAATTTTCCATCGCATTAGAGCGCGCTGAAAAGTACACGTAGCCTTGATAACAATATACACCGGACACAGCATTTCCACATTGGCAATGCTTACAAATGTACGATAATTAGGTGTCTACAGGCAATGCGAGTATGCACAAAGCGCACCTGAAAAACTGCACCGGCTGCATTCATTGCGTGAAGTGGCAAGCTGTGAAAATGCCATGTGCTGACGAATAGGATCTCAACTCCTGCTGATTTAATGAAGGTTAATGCAACTACCCGAAAATATTTTCAATCCGCACTTTCTCATCTGACCATCTTTGTCGACCACCTTTTAATGGGTAGTACTCTACTAACATTACGCTGGGCTTATCTAAGATACCTAGGTGAGATTCATGTACTAGTTTTAGATGTGAATGGCCAGGAATTGAACCATAATTGCATGGTTCATGTGATGCACTAACCACTAAACCACTGATCTCCATACACATACAATACACAGTAAAGTGGTTCTATTTATCAAATACTCACGAACACAAATCTGGAGACACTGAGAATCTTTCCTGGATTTTGTTTAACAGGGCTACTACTTTGAAGCAAACACGTACACTCCACATTTCATGGCAATAACGAAGGTCCAAACATACCATTCTTACGTAAAGTTTTAAATGCAGTACTCTAAGACTGATAACTATGATCATACCACTCGGATAGATTACACACAGAGCGAGGATATGTGTTTAATCACAGTTGAGCCACTGCTCAAACATGACAACACAACAGTATACATTTTTTATTCACTTTGTGTTCCTTATTCTTAGGTTTTTTCGGTAAAGTCACGTAGGTAAAAACATTAAAAAGTAAAATAAAATAAAAATCACGACGTTTCGGAGGCAACACAAGCTTCCGTCTTCAGGTGGTACCGTCACAGCCACGGCAGCTATATCAAGTAAATGAGAGATTGCAGGAGTTACCACTGCGTTTATATAATGGTAACTCCTGCAATCTCTCATTTACTTGATACAGCTGTCGTGGCTGTGACGGTATCACCTGAAGACGGAAGCTTGTGTTGCCTCCGAAACGTCGTGATTTTTATTTTATTTTACTTTTTAATGTTTTTACCTACGTGACTTTACCGAAAAAACCTAAGAATATGAATCATTGCAGTCACGAAAGCTTCAAATCTAGAATTTGTGTTCCTTGATGAATTCCATATGTGCGAATCGGTTTTGAAGAGCTTCAATAAGTATATATAACCCCATTAATTCTAAATGACTACAGTATGAACTGCGCGGTTTCTTGACATTTGTCTCTCACATTTGCTGTGTAGGAAGCTGTGCTGTCTGTGTGGCTGGGCTTCAGCGATGGCTCCGTGACACCACTCGAAGTGTACAACCCCCAGGATTACAGTCTGTCCGTGAGCTCACTTGACAAAGACGCCGTGTCTATCCGCCACTTTTCCTCAAATGCCTGGCCATCTGTGGTGGCCGAAGGGGATGGGCAGGGAGGCCTTGTGAAGGTGAAGCTTATGATCAGTAACTCTTGCCAGAAGTCCAAGCGGAGGAGCACACTGGCCGTGTCTTTGCCCGGTGTGCGCGTGCAATTTGACAGAAATGCCACGATGCCTTCTATCAAGGGCGGAGTAAAACCTGGTCAAGAGACACGTTTGGGAGAGGATGATTTGTTGGATCTGGAGCAGAACACAAGTGTCACCACGCAAGAGAAGTCCGTCGATAATCAAGAAAAAACTCAATTAGGACTGCCTGAGGTTGTGAAAAAGCAGTTGGCTAGCGAACAAACGTATATTCGAGAAAACATGACCGCCCTGACCATCAATAACTGGGTCGTGCCAACAGTATTGCACAACAGCACTATAAATTCTGACCAAACTGTTGGACAACAACTCTCGAGCAGCCATAAAAGCCTGAGCGACTTGCAGGTCGGAATGTACACATTGCTGAGTGTGTTCTTGCTGACTTTCTGCGTGTTTTTGATTAACTGCGGGTTTCTGGCAGTCAGACACCAGCTGCGGCTGAATCGACAGGCGCAGGGTGAAACGATCTCTCACCCTCACATCAGCATCGAGCTCCAGGACAGGGAGGAGGCGGGCAGGGCTCAGTTCGGCACTCGCGCGGTCGAGGTGGCCCGCGACGCAGCGCACACGAGCAGGGAGAACGGCGGCGTGTACGTCGAGAAGCACTGCTACAGAACGAACAGCGACAGCCTGAGTTACAGCCATCTCGATGCCCTCCCAGACGAGGGCGAAGACGAGAGCACATCGGTGACATTCAAGAAGAAAGTCAAGTTTTCGCTTTTTACAGAAGTGCGTGAATGACAGCATGCGTGAAATCCGGGACGTTTTTTTTCGGTACCTCATGTATATTATGTACCATACTTTTGAACACATTATACAACGTATATTGCATTCTGTGTGTGTGTATATATATTGGATGTCCTAGGATGCACCTTCGCAGCAGAGAAAAAAAACGTGAACATTTTTGCTACGTGAAAATTGTGATTGATTTTTATTGACTTTGTACTTTGGTGTTTAACAATGGAACCAATCACACACGCACTTATTCTGATGGCATTGTGGGCCTCTGCTGTGTGTTTAATATTTGCAAGAAAAAGCAGCAGCATACTTCAACCACAGTACGAATCGTTGTATTTTCACACTTCTGATGGCCAGTTTAGGGACCATTCACAACATCCAGCATATTTACCAGCTCCGGCTTCCGTGCGTGGCATCCAACACTTGCCCAGCAGGGACTGACATCACACTGCCTGCTAATGTTGTCTCCTGTATCAACGTGTTTGCAACTCACGTGAACAATATGCTCTCATTCATACATTCATTCGTTCATTTCAGAATTGCTTTTGGTACACGAGACGCAATAGAATCTGGTTAAGAGTGGCAGGGAAATCGGTCCCCTTTAACCTGCTCGCTCGTGAAATATGGAGATGATATTTTACAGTATATACAGAAAACTGTATTGTGAAATGTGACCTTACAAAAAAAATATCCGATGGTTATATACCATACTACAGTATATACTCTGAGTTTGTATTGGAATACATACGCTGTATACGTCCCCTATACTCAACAATTACATTTTAATTTGTCATGCAGCCTACCGATGTTTAATACGCAGGGTGTAAGTATAATACTATATTAAGCATTTGGCCTATTTAATAGTGTATATTGACATTAAATATAAAACCTACGTTTAAAATATGCCATGATTTTTACGAAAGATTTTCACGAAAGATTGTCACGATATTGTCATGCTCAAGAACCCCCTCGGGACTTCAAGAGACAACACCAGTGAATGTGTTGCGCACTCAGTAGCCAATCATTGGCCAACACATGAACACTCGACTCATCCATGCTCCTCTCAAGCTACTTAAATTGCCACATTGTGTTGCCAAATTGACCAACAGTCCTTAAATTACCTTTTGCTTGTCTTTGTTTGCAAAGGTAGTTTCTATGTACTAAGCTAGGATGAAGATGTAAAAACACTATTGGAACGTGTCAACGTACTTGTAGCCACTTTCTGATTTTACTATATACGCCGACTAAAGCAGAAAACCAGATCTGCAGGCTGCATTTTAATGTGAAGAGATATCCAATGCAAGCTCCAATATGGCAAGTACTCATCTGTCTGTGTGGGGGGTGAGCGGTGGTGTAGCGGTTAGCGCACTGCGGTATGAACCTGGCGACCCAAGTTCAATTCCCGCTAACGGCCCACACCAGTGACAATTATCTATAGTCCTGTGCCTCCCCTAGGTCGACTTAGCCTCAAATGAGTATCTGGTGTGGTGTGTAAACATCATCACTGGGGAGACAAAGGCGGCCGGGCGTGGTGTTGGCCACCCACCCAGCACTTATATTCTGTTAAAGGCTATACTGGGATCTTTGTCTTTGTTGTGGTCCAGAGCTAAGCCTACATATTCACAACAATGGGTAAAATCATTAACTAATCCAGCCTCTGCTTGTATGTGGTAATTGTTATTAATTATGGACCACGGTATGAAAATAAAAAAGGTAAGTAGACCTACACTGTTCAGAATTCAAATATGTACTGACAGTATTAATATTGTTTTACTTACTCAAATAAAATATAATTAGTGTTTGGAGAGTAAAACAAATTCCAAGAAGGCATTCTAAAAAAATGTATCCTAAACATTGTTTACACCGTAGAATAATAAGGGAATCGGGGGCCGTGTCGTCAAAAATACGCGTCCGAGTCACGGACAAGCTCTGTGCTTAGCGCAACCTATTAGGAGGAATGAAGTCAAGACGCTCCCAGGTGAAATCGCGTGTGTAATTAGCTTATAGCTCGCTCGAGCCGGCACACAACCTCCACGCTTCGTTGAGCTCAGACTCGCTTTCCTGAACACACACACACAACGCACGCATGTGAAATCCTTCCCGAAATGTTTTTTTATTGGCTGCACTGGAGAATATTCGCAGCTGCTGGTTGACCGGCAGTTGCAAAACGTGCTTTTGCATTGAGCCTTTTTTTTACTTGTTGGTGCATCTCGCACCTCTGCTCAAGCTGGGGTTTTACACTTGGCTGCGCCGAGTCGCATACAAAATATGTTGTTTTGCATAAGTTTTCGTATAAATTGATTCGTCTAAAACAGGGTTTCGGCAACCAAAAATAACAGGAGTCATTTTTTTCGAATTCGGTAAGAGCCGCAATGCACGTGAATACGAGACGGTGGCTCCTTAATAAATAACGTCACGAAACAGCCCTTTAAAGAGCCGTACGGCTGAAGGCCTCCTGGTCTGGAATAACGTTGGCCATCCCCTTTAATTCCAGTCCGGAGCCATATGCACCATATTCTGACAATCTTAAGCATCTTATGCTTGTTGACTCTATTGGGGTAAATTTTGATTTAAAGCTTTCGTGACTGCAGGGATTCATATTCTTGGTTCTTTCGGTAAAGTCACGGAGAAGGGATTTCACACCTGATGACGATTGCTTGTGTTGCAGTCGAAACGTCGTGATAATTTTTATTGTTTTATATATTTTATTATTTTATTATTTCCCTTCTACGTGACTTTACCGAAAGAACCAAGAATATCTATTGGGGTACTTCAGAAATAAAGCTTACTAAAACAAGGCCCACTGGTAAGCGTTTAACTAACGTGATGTAGATATTTGTACCTTCACAGTGAGCACTAAATATGCGTCCCACCGCACAGAGAGAACGACCTGTCATCACCGGTACTCTTGCTTTGCAGCACGGCAACATGCACCAGCACCAATAATGTCGATACGAAGATAAAGGTGCAGCCCTGGAATCGCTTGCTCACGTCACTGCTGGCGAGTATCCTTAGAGGACCCCTTGAGAGATCATTTTGGCCTCTTAAACGCCGGCCACAAGTCTTGAAAATGCTTTGGCGTGCGCACATTTTACCCCACCGCACGAAATCTTTTTTTTATCGTGATACCTTTAGAGGCCACAAACATATGAACTCGAGACACCACTGGTGGAAAACAATGTGCCAAGTATTGACCTGCATTGACATTTTACCTTAAATCTAGCGTAACACGTGTAAAGTAACTTGTAATATACCAAATACTGCACTAAGTTGATTAGAAGGGAAACAATATGTAATTGTAAAATTAACTTTAAATACACAATATGGTGTAAAGAATATGCAACGGCTCAAGACAAACAATGATAGAGTTATAATATTAGAACATTTTCGGACCTTTGTCAATCCACTGCTGGATGAAGGGCTCCCGATGCCGTGGGAGTTGTTCTCACTACGCTGGGGGTGGTGGTGATGGGGTTTGGAGGGTGGGGGGGTTGGCGGGACAGGAGCTGATCAGATATCTCTCACCACTGATGTTAGCGAGTGGCTGAAATTGAACTCAGATTACCGGGGTTCATAGTAGCATAGTTCGTGAACGACACTCCGCCACGGTTCCCCACGGCACGTATGAAAAAGATGTACGTCATTAAAACTCCATCCCGTTCATTATCTTCGCACGTTTTCAAGTATTTCAGGAAAGTACATTGCTGGGACAACATGAAGTAGTGCACTCTGACCTCGCTCAAGTAAATGCTTGTCGATAACGTTCACAACTTCTGCTTGACACATACAACTCATTAAAGAACTCGCTCATCTATGATGTGCGGCCATTGGCAGTGTAACCTATTGATCAGTTTTGTAGCAATCGATGCAACATCTTTTAAGGTCAATTTTACGGGGAGTATATGTCGGCTGCAAAGTCGTACAGTGACTGGTCGTGGCCCATAGACACCCTCCCTGACTTAATATTCACGTCCTCTCGGCCATCTCTCGAGGAGATGGAGCAATAAAAACGGTGCGTGTAGTAACATCATTCGATGCTTCGTCAAACACAGGACCTGTTTAATTATGTGGCGCTATAATTCACAATGATTTTAGTGCCTAAATTCATAATTCATCTCAAATAACTACACGCAATAATGAATATCCAGAGCAACTACTGCAGCAACAGCGGGAGGGACGAGACGAGCAATGAATAACCAAATGGAGGTGGAGACAAAACGCAGGAGACCCAGAGCAACCCTGGGCACAACCTGCACGGGAACTCAAGGCTCTGAAGCACAAGTGCTCAACACCGGCGAGTGTCAGGATTTTTAATGCCAGTCCGTTCAACTGTCCGGATCATGACATCCATCCGAACCGAACCAACCCACACACATCGTCCTGAAAGGTCCCAAGAGTAACCCCGTGTATCGTCTCAGATCACCGCCTGCAAGTCCCAATTTAACTCTAGATTTGAAGTTTTCGTGACTGCAAGGATTCATACTCTTTGGTTTTTTCGGTAAAGTCACGTAGGTCAAAAATTAAAATACATTAAATCACGACGTTTCGGAGGCAACACAAGCTTCCGTCTTCAGGTGCTGTGACGGTTCCACCTGAAGACGGAAGCTTGTGTTTCCTCCGAAACGTCATGATTTAATTTATTTAAATTTTTGACCTACAGTGAGGGAAAAAAGTATTTGATCCCCTGCTGATTTTGTACGTTTGCCCAATGACAAAGAAATGATCAGTCTATAATTTTAATGGTAGGTTTATTTGAACAGTAAAAGACAGAATAACAACAACAAAATCCAGAAAAACGCATGTCAAAAATGTTATGAATTGATTTGCATATTAATGAGGGAAATAAGTATTTGACCCCTCTGCAAAACATGACTTAGTACTTGGTGGCAAAACCCATGTTGGCAATCACAGAGGTCAGACTTTTCTTGTAGTTGGCCACCAGGTTTGCACACATCTCAGGAGCGATTTTGTCCCACTCCTCTTTGCAGATCTTCTCCAAGTCATTAAGGTTTCGAGGCTGACGTTTGGAAACTCGAACCTTCAGCTCCCTCCACAGATTTTCTATGGGATTAAGGTCTGGAGACTGGCTAGGCCACTCCAGGACCTTAATGTGCTTCTTCTTGAGCCACTCCTTTGTTGCCTTGGCTGTGTGTTTTGGGTCATTGTTATGCTGGAATACCCATCCACGACCCATTTTCAATGCCCTGGCTGAGAGAAGGAGGTTCTCACCCAAGATTTGACGGTACATGGCCCCATCCATCGTCCCTTTGATGCGGTGAAGTTGTCCTGTCCCCTTAGCAGAAAAACACCCCCAAAGCATAATGTTTCCACCTCCATGTTTGACGGTGGGGATGGTGTTCTTGGGGTCATAGGCAGCATTCCTCCTCCTCCAAACACGGCGAGTTGAGTTGATGCCAAAGAGCTCCATTTTGGTCTCATCTGACCACAACATTTTCACCCAGTTGTCCTCTGAATCATTCAGATGTTCATTGGCAAACTTCAGACGGGCATGTATATGTGCTCTCTTGAGCAGGGGGGCCTTGTGGGCGCTGCAGGATTTCAGTCCTTCATGGCTTAGTGTGTTACCAACTGTTTTCTTGGTGATTATGGTCCCAGCTCCCTTGAGATCATTGACAAGATCCTCCCGTGTAGTTCTGGGCTGATTCCTCACCGTTCTCATGATCATTGCAACTCCACGAGGTGAGATCTTGCATGGAGCCCCAGGCTGAGGGAGATTGACGGTTCTTTTGTGTTTCTTCCATTTGCGAATAATCGCACCAACTGTTGTCACCTTATAGTAATAGGTTTTTACCCTTTCAACTGGTACAAAAACTGACACCTTTATACAAGGCATCATATTTGCAATAACCATAACACAAGTAGTCAAAATGCAAACAAAAAGAAACAACTCTGATGATGATAATGATATGCACTGTCTTTGAAGTTGATTGGTCCACACCCGAGACAGCTTTTCTTAGAGCCTAGTCTCCATTGGTGTTGGAACAGATGACGCTTGCGTTGTGGTTATTGCAAACATGATGCCTTGTATAAAAGTGTCAGTTTTTGTACCAGTTGAAAGGAAAAAAACCTATTACTATATTTTGCCACTGGTAAAGGAGATGTCTCATAGTGTTGTCACCTTCTCACCAAGCTGCTTGGCGATGGTCTTATAGCCCATTCCAGCCTTTTGTAGGTCTACAATCTTATCCCTGACATCCTTTGACAGCTCTTTTGTCTTGGCCATGGTGGAAAGTTCGGAATCTGATTGATTGATTGCTTCTGTGAACAAGTGTCTTTTATATAGGTAACAAGC